CTGACACCTGCTCTGTGTGCATTTCACCCACAGACAAAGGAGTAGAAGGACGCTTATCCCGTCCTTAAGTCAAATAATCGAGGTATAACTGAACATGGCAGCTTGCCAGAAAAATATTAGTTCATGATATTGCGTCTTTAAAACTCAGAAGACCGTGAACACTGGGAAAGATTTTTTTCTTGTGGGGAGGGAAGGGGGTAAAACAATACTGAATTTTCATACTGCCATTTCATTATTTCTTGATCCAATTTTCCCTTGCACGATACCCTTGTCCCACAATTTTTGTAATGGTTCATCTCTTTATAGTAGTTGCAAGGAAAAAACCATATAGTTATAAGGATTGAGAAAAGTAACCAACAAACGGTAACAAAAATAGGTTTGTAGCCCTTCGTGGTTTTCAAGTTTGTTTCGTGTCCTCAGCAGACGTTTTTTTTCTCCGGGGGGGGGGAGCCAAAAGCAAAAGGGAAGAAAAGACCCGTGTCCTTATTTTTGTTGTCATTGGTCACCACACAATAGACATTCCTGAAATATCTTTACGGTTTCTGAGTTTTGCAATAACAACTTTTGGTTTTTCCGTCCGCGTGAAATGTTATAGGCACGCATGAACCTCTAACCACGTTTTTTTCATAGATGAAGTTTTCCACGGATGATAATTACACGGTGCTAATGTTTCAGGAATGGCGGGTGACATCGATAACAGGTAAGCCGGCCCTGACCTTGATCTTCAAACTCAGTGCAACAGCAATGCATGTTTCATCCTAAATCCTAAATCTGCATGCGGTGGATCTATGTCATCTATCTGTGAATAACTTAGGTTATGTACTGAAGACAATCACTGTTAGAAACCAAATTTTAGTTGTTTGTTTCTTAATCGACTTTAAGTAAGAAAGGCAACGAAATTCTTTTCATGTCGGTCATAAAACATCAGAGATCAGAATGATGGTCGCCAGTGGCGCTGGTTTCCTAAGGCCGCCTACAGAGTGCAAATTGCGCTCTAAAAGGGGAGCTAGAATTAGCTGATAAACCGGTGGAATAATAAAAGGTATACTTTATTTTCCATTTGGGCAAGAACACTGATAAGTCAAGTCATCATTTAATAATTAATGTTGATACACGGGATTCATTTGTGACAAGATAAGAAATTTTTAATTAATTATGTACCTTCGAGTACTTTGAGTAACAATAAGATGGGGTTATTAAATTTGACCCGCGGAACTTCGGGCATGTGGCGTCCGTACAAAGGAAAGAAATTCAACAGCAGAAAAGAAAATCGGATATCTTCGCACTAACTTTTGACTGGATAGTAATGCACTTCACAGCTATTATTATTTTCAGTTCTCGTATTCGATTGTTTTCTTTTTCTGACTTATTATTAAATTAAAGGTCCTCATTTTACGTCGGTAACTCGTAATAATTCTTAATTACGCGGACAAACCTGAGGCCAGTGGAACGCTCATTTTTCCCGCCTCTCTCCATCAGTGCTCCGTTGTACGGTATTTAAAATCTACTTAAAGCCTACACGTTGGAGTGGGGGGGAGGGGGGGGAAGGAGTCGAAACAAGGAGCTATTGTAGGTCACACCTTCAAATCGAAATTAGAAACTCCCGCACAGGAGGCCGGGCACTAATCGACTGTGTTAATCCTTCCTGTGTTATTTTTTGTGCACATGCTTTGCCTTGGATAAAACCTCAAGCAGATTTTCAGCAATGTCGGACCTGGCCTTTTTCAAGACTATGGAATGCGAGAAGGAGTCAACACCTACTCCTCTCCCATACCCCCACTACCCACTACTCGCCCTTAACATGCATAAGTTCACACTGGCATTCTACTTAATTTCAAGTCCTTTAAGAGACGCCTGTTCACATGCTGGCTCGTTGTGTTCCGTTAGAAAGATCAGGATTGTTCAAAGCAATACCCAGTTTCTACAGCAGAACCGTATTTACTGGAGTAAGCGCCGCGGCGCTTTTTAAATTTTACACGCCTCAAGTGCGGCGCTTATTCGATGGGCGGCGCTTATTTGAGAGTGGCCTGTATTTGAAAGTTGGACACGATAAAGGATTGCGTTCAATACGGTATTATCATCTTCCCTATTAGAACTAAATATAGAATTAACGTGCTTGAATTTGGTTATTTTGATTATATCAGGGCCACGGCGCTCATTCGGGAGTGGTGCTTATTAACATCTCTATCCCGAAGCACTCTGCTCCCGAAGGGCTGCGTTTATTCGAGTAGATAGGGTACGTCATCATCTCTTACTCTTTGGTACCCTGTGTATATGACCTGCCTTTTTGGAATTGCTAGATATTAGTGGATCACTTGTGGCAGTTCTTGCTCTGGCCGTCCTGTACGAGTGTTTGAAAGGACTCCACGTAACGCTGCGATCCTATATGAAATGGCGTTGGCAAGATCCGTTGTCCAATAGCATAATTTACATCTTGTCGAGGTGAGATTCAAAGATTATTACTAGTAGGATAGAAGTCGTAGAAATAGAATACCATCTA